TTAATTTCAACATTGATTATTTGAAAACTGTAATTATAATTTTAAGGTCATCATATAATATAAAAACTAATAATTTAACTGCGTAATAAATTATATTTATGTCTTGATAGCATTACTAGTTATTAAAATATTACAGGTTTAAGTATTACTTTATAAATCAAAAATTACTAAAGATTTTTATTGATATGTTATCACTAAACAATTTGAAACCCACTGACACAATGTTTTATGCAGTGGCCGTATGTATGAATGTGTGCCCCATAACTGAAATAAACACATAGATCCCATGTTATAATTATTCCTTGTTTATATTTTTCTTAATTTATAATTTTATGCTGTCAAATTTAAATTTACAAATAATTAATAGTAACTAAGCTCAGTAGCTCATGAATGTTAACCTTGATTCAATTTGAAATGCGATATTATAGCGATATGAAAGCAAAGACAAATCATTAAATAAAAGTATAAAATATTACTAATTATTAAACTCGCTAACTTATGTAACAAAAATAAACTAAATCATATCATATACTTAATAATTTTATTAGATTTATGAAAACATTACACGGCTTATAATAAATTGATTAGTTTTATGTTGTTTGAAATATTAAATTTATCTTGCTCATTATAGTACAATGTCGAAATGTACAGCGTCGAACTATTACCGGCAGCCAAAGAGGTCATGGATCAGCACGTGACGGAACAATTGATAAAGGGTAAAATTCACGCCACCCACGTGGTACGCGGTGTAGTACTTGGTGGTGAGGTAAGCGCAGAATTGTCGATCAAGCAAACGAGTTCAGACAACACGGATCACGTGCATGGTAGTATAGTCGGCAAAATGACGTTCGGACCCATTAATGCCGAGCTTAAAGCGCAACTCGACTTTTTGGATTCAGACAAGGCCAGTAATTTCGAAAAACGAATCACCATACATTCGAAACCGCCCATGCGTAATCAGCCGTCTAGCGTGAAAGAAATGTTTGAAATGGTCGAGAGCATCGATAAGTACATATCGAATGAGCAACATTTCCGAGTGGTCAGCTCAGAGATACAGGGCATTCCCATTCGATTCGTACTCGTACCGATTAATCAGTTTTTAGATGTGCAAGTTGAAAGGCTATACGTGAAAATGAAGGACGATGTAATGGAAAATTTTACAGACATGCTTACAGCCCTCCATGATTTTCGACTTGTTGGCTATATTAAGAGCAAGGTGATTGCGAAGAATAATCGCTTGGGCATAATATTAGACGACCTAGAATCTCCCCTAACCGTGGAAGTAATGGCCTACGAAAAACTGCTAAAACACACATCTGACAAATTCTTTAAACGTAGTTTCACTGCACTTGATGAGTTTAAACGAGCCAAATGTACCGTGGACGAACTTCTTGACATTGTTAACGATTACGCTAATTCAAACTTTAGCGTGGTAGACGTGGATGCTAAAGTTGCCTATTTTGTATCGCAAGGTTTTACTGAGTTAAGTGGTATTCACGACAAAGATGCTATTGATATGAATGCTGGAATCATCAGGTTCACTAATCTGCCTTGGTTAAAACAATGGCTCAGTACCGAATCAAAAATCAAAGTATTTTTAAACACATCCGGAATAGCGCCCGATGGAGTGTTCACACGTTTATTTAAAATTAGCAACATCCTAAAAGATCTTGATATTCAAATTGGGTTAGCGTTACCAAGTATATCGGATGGATTTTCGATGATAATAAAGGTCGAAGGTGATACAGTAACTCACGAGCCCAACGATATTCCGTTTGTACTAGGTTGTATATGCGCTATTGTCGGTATAAACTCAGATTCTGAATGTTACTTCCACGCATTAAATGCATCATTATCGGAAATTCATTTGCCACTCGACAAAACTAATCTAACCGAGATGAATACCGTTATTGAAACTTTAAAATTACCTCAAACGATAATATTTTCCCGGTCGCCACCTCACACAATACAACTATTAACCTCGCTGAGTAATAATAAATGGAAATTCTTTGTTTGTTTAGATGCCATAGATACTGCAATGGAAGCGGTTGAAAAATTAAAAATTATTATGACGGAATTTGATGACCTGCATAGTGACTGGATCGCAGGTAGCTTGGGCTTAAATAATATGTATTCGGCGCCACTATTATTTGTATTTAGGAAGGCAAAACTCGAAGCATTATGTTTTGATAATTTTGACATGCTTATTTTAATTCGCCAATTTTCGCTGGCTACAGACAAACAAAATCCCGATTTAACGTTATTATCGCCGCAAACATCGATTATAAAATCATTTTACCCTGATAAAGCTCGTTTAGCGGTCGAAGTTATTAAACTCATTCAGAAAATACGAAAACACAAATTGGATTCTATTAGTCTAGACGTGCCAACATTTGACAATAAACCTGATCCATGTCTTATTGACCTACTCGAACTGACCAGGGGTGCTGTAAAACAGGATAATGGCGATATTATTTCAACGGTGACCAGTGATGTAATAGCTGCCTTTTCAGACTTAGAAAATTTAATGAAACAACATGGCTGGAGTGTGGCCACCAAAAGGTTTGGGAGAAATAATAAACTTGAAAAATGGCGATCTCTGTGCACCGAATTGGAAAATTGGCTAAAGATGAGGAACCCACTATTAGTTAAAGTGGAGTGGGCTAGATTAGCGATTAAGGATTACCATGGTGCAAATGAGTCGGATTCAACACAAGCTGATAATGAAATTAAAAAAGTCTTAAATGATACATCGTGTCCAGAAAGTTTAAGCACGGACATTAAAAAGTGGATTTGTAGCGATAGGAAACATAAATATAATGGTATTGCTCAAATACTCGAGAAATTCACCATGAACCCTGAATTCAAAGAAACGTACTTGCATATATTGGCCATGATCACCCTATTAAAACGTATCACAGAATCGGATTCTATGGCTAATTTGATGGACGTATACGAGATTTTACCACAATACACTGACAGAATAACCGCGTGCGATCCTGATACTATTGGCAAAATTAATGATTATCAACTGAATCGTCGCTCGTATCACCTTGTTACATTATTAGCCAAATTCGCATACGATAGTCGGCTTTCTGACATCCACACTAAACTGGATATGTTATATGATTTAAACGATACGGATGACATTGCAAATTTGCTAGACTTATTTACTGGTAACAAATTTAATGAATTAAACTGGCTTGAGTTATGGAAAAGTCCCAAATTTATTTACCTAATTAATTGTGGTGTTAATGATAAAGATGTTCAACGCGCTATTGTATCAGCGTGCGTTTCAATGAGCTCGACTACAGAAATACCTAAATATGTTCCAGATACTATTGCGGTACGCTGGGATGAGATTTTAGCTGAACACAAAATTACGGTACATGAAACTATATTACCCGATATTACTTTGCCCAATATTACTTTCCCCAATAATACTGTGCCCAGTGTTACTTTGGTCTGTAATTTGGCCAACGCAAATAGATTATACCATATGTTGAAGAATTTTGAAAATCGACTCAACAATACTTATGATACTGCGCTAAACAAAATTACATTACTAGATATGTATAAGAGTAATGTAAGTGAATTCAACAATATTGTAAGTTCAAATCCAGTGATTGATTTGAAATTTGAGAATCAAATTGATCTGCCACAAATTGATCAGGAACAAATTATAAATAATACCCTAAATATACTAACAAAGGAAATCGAAATAATTGAACAGCTTTTTTGTAACTGGTTGGACAAAAGGAAATCAAAACGAAATTTAAACAAATTATATTAAATTATAAAACATATAATACTAGTATTGTAGGTAATTATTGTTAGTAGTATTATACATCAATCACAATTTAAAGGATGTTTAAATTTTTGGACATGCCTCGTACGTAAAGGTGTATATAAGTATGTAGAAATTAATCACATACAGCTACAATTCACTAATTTTATTTCTCAAATATTCCCGTTCCGTCTAGATTTTATTGAACGATTATTATATTATATATATTTTTATATATATACCTAACCATCAATATCATTAATACCAGATGGTGTCATCGAAATAGGCTGGAAATCGGGTCATATTTTTGGGTCAATAGCTTTCACCTGCGAAACTGTAAAATCGTTTTAACAACCAATTCTCTATCAAAAATATGTACAAAAATAATTTTTTTAAAACCTTAATTCAAAATATTTATGAATACACCAACAATAGAGTTCAACTAAAGGTTCATCAAGTCAACTAAATGACTAGCTTAACCAATTATAAGAAATAGTGACAACAGTGTAAATATCTTGATCGTTAAACAATCGTACGTTCAGCCATCGATTGTTTTGTAGTTAACAGTTTTACGTTGAAAAACCAATGGCACCCGATGGGCCAATAGTGTCGTATAAAATTGCATAAACGGCTTGATTAGTCTTAAAAATTGTAAAAATTATTTTTAATAATATAGTTTAATGTAAAATATTTTTAAATAATGAATTTTTTAAATAAAACACTTTTCTATACACTGTTTTATACTTTATGATACTTTTGTGGTATAATGGGTGCGAATTTAATTAAATTAATAAAGATCAATTTTAAATTTAACAGTTTTATAACTTAATTCAAGGGTTTATAGTGTTTCAGTGTTATCTAATTAAATATTTTAAACTTATCAAGAATATTTTGAGTAATACTGTAGATCACTAAGCGCTTATATTAAATTCAATATATGATTTAGCTTGATTGGCATCGGACAAAATTGCATGATTGCCTAAGTATTTAATGATTACTTTATTAAACCGACCTTGTGTATAAAAGGAGATTATTGGAACATGCAATGATATTGTATGGAGTAAGTATAATCGGCAACTAACTATAACAAATCACTTTTTATATATATTTTATTTAATCTTGAAGATCTCGAGGTAAATAATACAAAATTGCGCAAATTTATAAGTTTATAATATTGCACTAAACACTAAACATTAAGTGATAAATTAAATTATCCCTCTAAACGTGCAACACCATGCTCAACTAGACACGTCATGTTTTGTGTATCGGGTAGGAGTGTGGGCTTGCTCATTTCAATGGTCTCAATCAGTCCGTTAATACTTTCTATATATCCTATTAACTCCAAGCCCTCGGTAGTCCGGCCCTCCCTGTCTAATTTAGCAAGTTCATTATTCACATCTATTTTCACGACTTTGAATTCATTTTCAATCTCGTCCATCGTATATGTCCATTGCATGTACCGGTTGGTGTCGACTCGGATACTATTAACAATATATAATTAATGTGACAAGGTTAAATAGATTTTAACAGTATTCAACATTCAGTAGAAATATGCTAGATACATACAATTTGTTGATCATAGTAAAATTGATACAATCATCAAATATTTCATGATTATTTGCATAAATTAATTTTAATTACTAAATTAATAATTAAACATCTTTGCTAATAATACTTAGTTAGTGTAAGTTGTTATTGTTTAATAATTATGTATTAAGCCTTATCACACGGATATTATTTATAAATTAATAATAGCATATGTTTCAATGTTAAAAATAAAGTAAAAATATATTTCGTAATTAGGAAAATACCGTACAATATTCACATAAGTATATCTGATATATTATACAAGTAATATTTTTACAAAATATACACAGTAGTTTTAAACATTGTTTAAGAGTAGTATTTATTAAAATTGTTTCTCTATATGAGGCATATATTTTTTTAATTGGCTTTCAATGTACACAAAAAATACAATAAAACTAATTTGGACAAATACAAAAATATTGATTTTATACAATTTTACAAATAATTTATTTTATGCGTAAATAAAAGTATTATAAAAGTATTTTATTATATTGTTAACATTTATTATTAACAATAAATATATTTCTACATAATCTAATATGATAAATTTTTTAATAAAAAACGATTTTAATATCATCTATGAGAAATTTCATAAACTTTTAGGAACCCCACCATGATCATCATAGCAACCTAGTCACAATAATTAGTAAATAACAATGATAGATAATTTATTCAGCATACCTCAATTCCGAGAAAATTATTTATAATAAATAACTCGAAACAATAAAATCCCACACGTTTTTTCACCACCCTTTCAATTGAATTTAATAACTAATGTTGAAAAAATAAAATAATGTAAGCAAGCTTATTGTAATATTTACATTATAAATAAATACCTTAATTTTAATAACAGTGCCAATATTTCTATACCTTAAATGAATTAACGAGTTTAATAAAACATGGAAAACTATTAGCCTCAACATAAATAGACCCTAATATATGTATAATAAATACTAGTAGCGAGGTAAATTCTAAACTAAATAAAAGCAACATGATCCGGACAATTAATTGTGTTTTACTGAACGCAAATAAATATGAATTAAATGTTACGATAAGACTCAATGAAATCCAAATAGTACCCAGATAATTTGAATAGTAATTTCTATTGTATTCAATAATTTCAACATAAATACAATTAACTTCTTTAAGAATTCTATGAATTTCCAGAATATTCTTATTATTCCTTAAAATATCTATAATTATTAGATTTTGTAGTTTTAACTTGTTTTTCAAATAATATGTAATTATGTAGTAATATAATGTCTGGTACGATAATATATTTATCAGGTACATCACCCAAATTGCCCAGATCATAGCATTGGGTGTACCATAAATACATAAGTCATAACTGGATACTTTTGTTGAGTAACTAAGAAATACTATTGAAAAGCAAAATACCATAAAAAGTGGGATTACGTATTGGGAAAGGCGTAAAGTTTTGTTAGTAATTGAACACAATTTCAATACTAAATATTTGCCCTATATACCAATACTACAGGGTGGTCGTAAACCGGCCACCATTTCAAAAACACGTAAATCAGTAGGTTTTCTACCTTTCCAGTAGTTGTAAAAATTAAGCACCTGGGTCACTATGCATAAGACACACGCTGTACCATACACTGTGTTCACTAGGATACCGGTGCCCATGAAATGGTCAATGTTACCCCAATATAAATGATAATGTGTTGATTTGTCATGAGCTGGATGATTGATAAATAATAAACACCGTATTAGCATATTGTTAGTATAAATGAATTTATAATAACATTTAATTGAAATGTAGGGAGAGACAAATAACAAAACACTTAAAAGTTAGGACATAACAAAACACTTGACATAATATTAAAAATAGTGGACACAATTTGAGACAAATATACGAGAGAGAGAGAGAGAGAGAGAGAGTCCAACACCCAGTGACAGATAACTGTCGCCTAAACTAAATAGCAATAGTCGCCCAAAAGTAGTTTTCATTTCAAAGTACAGTTTCTATTTGTTTTAGCCCACAGTTTGACTCAATTTTGGTATTTTTATGTATTTTGAATATATTAAATATTAGAGTTAGTTTTTACAGCAATTATGGTATAAATAGCAGTGATTTTATTATATAAGTTAAGTAAGTTTTTCTATTATATTTTGTGTCATTTTCTCTAAGTTTATATATACTTACCGAACCTTTAATGTAATCTTTGATTTGAAGTTTATTTTATTATTAAATATTTTATATACAATAAACTAATTGTAAATTAGTTTAATTTTCGTGGATTTGTGCGACTGTTTGGTGCGATTGTGGTGTTTGTGGTGGTTGTAGATCCTGTGGTACTAGTGTTGGTGGGTGTGTGTGGTCGACAAGTGTCGATAGCTAGTGGACAGGTAGTCCACTCATAACCCGGCGCTAAAGGTAGCACCGGGAGGTCAGCACCTACACGGTGGTCGGCGAGGGTCGACTGGGACACGACAGCATCGCACAGCCAGAGACCCTATTTGTCGGCATAGGAGCTGACAATCGAGCGATTCTGGAGGACAGGTCGAGTGGGAAAGGGATAGCACTGGTAGAACAGGCAGCACTGGGAGGACTGGTGGTGTTGAGCGAACGGCACCGGGAGTGGACGCACCGACAATCCGAGGTTTGAGATCTACCTCAATAACGGTGGACTCAAAGTTGGGACCACAGGCAAGGGCCACAGTGGTTGGCCCGGTAGGGCAGTAATTGCCAATATTTAGTGGACAGGTGTGTTCCGGCGACCAACAGTGGGTCGAGTGGGCTAAAAAGGGGCCCAATATTAGGTGGATTATCGGCACCGGTATGCACCGGTAGTTTGGAGTTCTAATTTAAATAAATATACAAACAATATGAAGCAAATATGTAAATGAAATTATTGGGTGATTGTACCAACGTCGTTTTACAGGGTACTGGAGTTTAAATAATGACAGTCCAATGTTGTAAAGGTGACTGTTAGCACCATGTATGGATAATTCAGGTGGTATTAAATGAGTAGGTTTAAAATTATATTTAAGTAGACACATTTTATTTATGAATTTATATTGAAAATATTTTATTTAAAATTTAAAGGTAATTTAATTTGAGGTTATCTAAGCTCAAAAATGTTTTAGCTTAATAAATTGTTAGTATGATGCAAATGTTCAAAATATTTGCTTAATAATATATTAATAATAATAAATAAATAAATAAATAATAAGTTATATATAAGTTATATATTATAGTATACTGTACTAGTGCAACTTTGTATTTGCATGAATACAGACAATTTACTGTTTTATATAAATACATAAATTGCATGTAAGCAAATAATTAAATTTAATACACTAAATCGGAATGTCCCTTTTTCAAAGTTAGTAAATATGTAATAATGAGTATGAATGTATTCTATAATTATAGCTTAAAAAGAATATCGCAAAATAAAATTCCACTACAATCACAATATTCTGTTAAATCCATTATATCCATCATATAACTTATATTGTAAATGGCATATATTGTATAAAAACAAAAATTCTTATAGTATTAAATACAGTAGATGTTAATAGTACTAACAAAGTTTAAACTTATTTCAAATTATTCACATACAAACATGAATCAGTGAACATCAATAGATTCAATTTAAATATTACTAATACCCTTAGCCGACTTAGCGGACTTAGCCGAATAAGAATTTTTTATTTTTGATTTAATTTATACTTTAATATATTGTTAAGCATTAAAAATAAAAAATATGTGTGAAAAAATTTTAAAAAATATTAATCAGCAAAAGTACAATATTGATTTAAAAATTGAAAAATTCTTGAAATTCTTGTATTAAATATCATCATAATAACTGTAATATTCCATAAAAATTTTGTTTCTAAAGTGTTATAAAGTAAAATATTAAATTAATTTTATATTTAAATTAAAACATAACTAATTAAAAGTACACTGGTTATTCCCAT